GAAACACTAAATACCACACACGCTCTCTGTGCAATAAAGTCCGATGCTTAGCTAACAAATTTGAGAATTATCTCTCCTTTGTTGTCCTCATGGGTCGAGCTGAAGACCAACACGCAAACACAAACACACACCACCGTGCACAGACGGAGCATGTGGGAGCACTGTGGGTTTTTTATTATTCCTGAGGCAACAGAGGGTATTTGCTTAAGTTTAAAATGTCAATATGCAACACAATATTCTGTTATAGCAAACTATCAACACATATACACACAAAGTGCCAAGTGAGGCTTACCTCTGTGTAAAATTCATGCAGATCCACATATACATATATATATACACAGTATATATGTATACTCTGACATTTATCTAGATGCAGATGCAACACAAGGATTACAAGTGGAAGAAATAAACGTTCCCACACGCTGTGTCTGGAGAGTCATGCGCATGTTCAGTCTCATTATTGTCAATTCAAATAGTTTCATTTGTCACATATTGATTTGATGAAGCAACTTCTCTTAAAAAATTAATTTAAAAAACATCAGGAGACAACAAACACTTAGTAAAGCAGAACCTGGTGTTGTGTCATTCCAGACACACCAAGGCAGCAAGGGGACTCCTTGCCCCAAACAACTTGTGTGGCTTGTTGGGCAGCCTGCATCCATGGTCTCCATGGTAACCAACAGCTGCTCCAGCCTGTGGGTGGCAGAGAGGCTCCAGCTGAGATGGAGCTGTAGCTACGCTTCCAACATTTTATTCAATTCAGTTTATTTATATAGCGCCAAGTCACAACAGAAGTCGTCTCAGGGCACTGAACAGAAACATTCATATATAAAAAGTCAGTTAACATTTATTATCTGAGGAGCAGACTGCTTTAAACTTAACTCCATCGCAGAACTCTCATCTTGAACAAGCACAACAGTGGAAAGGAAAAACTCCCTCATGAGGAAGAAGCCTTTAGCAGAACCAGCTCAGGACAAGTGGCCATCTGCTTTGACCGTCTGGGTTTGAGAGGAACAGATACACAATGGCAGGTCAAATATCATGTTAAGATAGAAATGGTATAAAATGAAAACTATTCAATTTTAGCATTTCATTTTAAGAAATGAGGTCAATTTGTCCTCCAGTAGTCTAAGCCTACAGCAGCATAACAAGCCAACCCTAACTCACACTTACGGTGAGGCTTCTTTCCAGTACTATGGCCCCCGTCTGTGGAATAGTCTGCCGGAGAACCTGAGGGCCGCAGAGAATGTTGTTGTTTTTAAGAGCAGGCTCAAGACCCATCTTTTTAACTGTATTTCCTGAACTGGTTCATTTCTGTTCAGTCTATAATTTTTCCATACGATTTTATTTTATGTGTGTTGTTTGCTTTTATTTTGTGGGTTTATTGTTTATAATTCTGTACAGCACTTTGAGCTGCTTTTAGTATGAAGGGTGCTTTATAAATAAAACTGATTGATTGATTGACTTCTGAGCCTGACTTACTTGATGGTTTCGTCAAGTAAGAGGGTGGGGGTGATGCTTGACAGAAGCAGTGTTTACAAATGTAGGTAAAGGTAGATGTTTAATAACCTATAAAAAATACACCAAAATGCAGGAAATCACCTCTACTTTACTCAAGATTTTCTGAAGGAGGACCCCTGCCGCCGGCCCACTATGTGTTCTGGCATCGATCGTTTACAAATTAAGCCCTGCGTGCACCTTCAGGTTTAATCCAGTTTTCTCGCACAGACCTGCATGTTAAGTTAATCAGTAACTCAATTGTCTCTAGAATAAAAAAGGTTGTTTGTCTCTGAGTCCCTGTGATGGACTTGTGACATGTCCAGGATGTACTCCGCCTCTTGCACAGTGACTGCTGGATAAAGGCACCAGCTCCCCGTGACCCGGTAAGGAAAACTGATGGATGGAAGTAATAAATAAACAATATGAATGTCATGGTTCTCACTCTACTGCAGGTAAAACACTCACTGTTCATAAAAATGACATGCATCCCACACATCCAGTGCAAGCAGACAGAGAGACGATGTCTGTAAGTTATGATTATTAGGAGCTTTGACTGGCCAAACAACACAAAAACCTCAGAGACTGATGCTTTGAAATGAACCGTTGACATTTATAGAGCTAATACAAAAACACAGTGATACAGATAAAACAAAAACATATTCATAAAAACAGCATAAATAGAAATACAGGATTCGGAACAGTACAAATATTTTGGTCCCTTTCCAGTGTCAGTGTGGAGCCTGAGGATGGTGGCAGATTATTGAACGGTTTTTCTCAGCTGCCTCAATCCACAGCTAGGATGAAGCTCTTTGACAGGCTGGAGATTTAATCCAAGCAACAATCTTCAACATTTAATCTGTTGTAGAATACCATAGTCGGATCGGTAATGAAGTCCATCATCATTCAACTTACAGGAATGTTTGATCAGAGCAGTTTCATGCTCCCACGATCACTTTTCACCCTAACTGTATCAAATCTTTAGGTTTTCTGTGTAGAAAATGGTTGCTGCTGGGTCTAAACTTCCTTAATGTGAGTGTGTGTGGTCGTCTGTGTTTGTGGCCCTTTGAAGGACCCTGGTTCTCGCCTGATGACCGCTGGAGACAGACAAGCGGGCACAGTAAATGGATGCGTGGATGCTGAAGACTTTAGGCTATTGAAGATAAACAACAAACTAGATCTGTTTACTGGAAGTTTGAATGTTAGCAGGTTTTACGACAGTCCAGTTGAAAAACAACAAGTGAAGATTAGGCTGAGAAATTCAATTTTGAACCACATTTTAACACTCAACCCTGAAATATGAGAACGTCTGGAGTTCTTTTGAAGTGCAGGTTTAGAGTTTGGAGCTTGGCTGCTCATTCTTTTAGAGACACCACTCAACAAAACACACATTTGTCTTTGCAACCGTCAAAAAGCTCTAACGTTTCTGCTCCTCGGGGGTATACATGAACAAACTGAATTACTGTCAGCTTTAAGGCAAACTGCACGTCAATAAAAAGTTGCAAAACAAAGACACAAAAACGCTTCCAGTCAGTTCTTTGCTTGGCTGCTGAGGGTAGTCCTTGGATAGACTTATTGTCCAACAACTATTATTTAGTTACATGTTGCCACAAAAGGGTTAAATCAGATAATTATGCATGCAGAGCTGTGAGCTCTGGATGGAAATGGATCCTTGCTAATGGATGGAAAGTTTTGCCCTTTTAATGTTTAAATTGGACTTTTCCATACAGTTGTTGACAAGCAGCTTTAGTTTTGTAGTATCCTGACAAACTAAGACAATTTTTTTTTAGTTCCAACGTGTAGTTGGACAGCTGAGGGCACCACGGACATATTTTGGTGCCTGTTTGGATGCGTTTAGTGTACTTTTCACTGTACACGGCGCACCTCCGTATAAGTCGCATCAGTCCAAATATGTCTAATAAAGTGGAAAAAAAACCATTAAGTTGCTTCACCGTATAAGTCGCATCTGTTATGCGTCACCGCTGACAACCTAGAAATGTGGGCTGGTGTGCCAAAAATCGATTGGCTGCCAAAATGGTGGTCGCTGGAGGACTTTAACAAGAATTTAACAAGAATAACACTTAAAAACAATTATTTGTTTGCTCGACATTATAGTAAAGGTGTGTCTCAGGTGAACTTTTCCTTAATAAATGCACTTTAATGGTCAAATCAGCTGCATTTTGTCTGGGCGGCGTGGCGAAATGCAGCTGATTTGATGTTTGCTCCAGGAGTTCCAGAGCGAGACGAAGGTGGCTTTGTATGGCAAGCAAAGTGTCTCATTAATAGCCACTTTTACCTATTAATGAGACACTTGGCTTGACATATAGGTTGATGGCCCTCTAGCAGCTGAAAATGGTAGTGGTCAATATTTTCCATGTCAGAATGAATGAAATTGTCAGATTTCAGACAAATATTGAGTTATAAATACGGGAAAAAATGTATATTTGTTGCTTTGGTGCATAAGTTGCAGGACCTGCACATTTATGCAAAAAGGTGCGACTTATACAACGAAAAATACGGTACTCTTAGTCCTGTGGGAGTTCTGCAAAAACAGGCAGAGTATTCTGTGTGGAAATTTCATGAGAAACTGGTGAAGTCACAGTTGCGCTCAGAGTCTTGAACTCCCCCTCTAATGTCGTCTCTTCAGTTCATCAGTACGCTGACATGGTGCGTTTTGAGCCTGCAGGGCGACATCGCAGCTTGAGCTCACCTACTGGGGTTAAAGAACGTTTCAAAGGGCTCCCAGTGGCACCTAATTGATCTTTGAGCACATCAGGAAGAACATTCAGACAACTGTTTGGGTTCCTGAAGGGCTGCGTTTTGCATATATTGAAAGTACAAAACACCCATCACAGTCACGTGTTTACGGTGGCAGTATCAGCAGCAAAGTTTCTAAAGTTTACGAACCATAGGCTCTGCGCTATTCACAGATTTCTGGGTAATGGGTTGCTGTTTTTATCTCTGTCTGGTCGGCAACAGTAAATTACTGTGTAGCATTCATTCCCAGCACAGGCAAACTTTGAACACATCAAATGTTTTTTTTAAAAAGAACACATTAGATTCTAAGATGAACACTGTAGTATACAAATAAACACTTCAAATGCTAAAGAGAGAGGAAAAAAGCCTTTTTCTCTTCGCTGACAGATGTGTAAAATACTAATACTGTTTATTAAAGGAAGGATTCAGACATAATTACTTACAGTGGCGTTGTTCAGATAAGAAGGCTACAATGTTTGTGCATATGAGGTAAGAATGAAAATGAGCAAACACCTTGCCTTTTGACGAAATGATTATGTAAAAGTTTACAAAAATACTAAAAAACAGACTCTTTCATTTAAGCACACTGTCCAGACCTTCTGTCACACTCCAGCTGGGTTTGAGCTCAGTGTCGTGTTGCTCTGTAAGCACGTATGCTCCAGAGTAAAACACTGGAGTCGTGTTGCCTCCAGCAAAACATCGACATTTCTAGAAGTCTTCTAGCTGGAGTTCACATAACTTCTCTGACTGCTGTGTATCCGACATTTCGCTGTACGAGTGTGCACGCGTGTCAAGGTATCTGGAGCTGCAGGTCCTCGTCCTCCTCGTCCATGTCACTGTTTGGACCGTCAGTATTTTCAGGACTGAACCGAGTGGATCGCATCTTTCCAAAGAGACCAGGATTCTGCTGCTGTCGCCGGAGTCTGAGGCAAACACAGAGAGAGAGTGGTGTCAAACTACAGGTACAGTGTCAAGCTGCTGCCAGGGCATGAGCCTACGCTCTCTGTGCACCTTTACGTAAGACTGTTTGTCTTTTCATCTTTGTTACAAAGAGCAATAGGTGAAAAAAAAAACTGGACATTCAAGCAGCTCAAAATTACAGAAAACACAAAGTATGTAAAGAGAATGTGGTGATTAGCAAAACTATAATACCATCATGTCTCTGTGAATCCTGCTCTCTGGCAGCTCTTTACATCCATTTGCTTTTTTCCTGTTGGATAACTCCATCCATCCATCCATCCATCATCATCTTTTACTCGCTTCTTCCATTTTTGGGTCACGGGGGTCGCCGGTGCCCATGTCCAGCAGTCACTGTGCGAGGGGCGGGGTACACCCTGGACAGGTCGCAAGTCCATCACAGGGACACATAGAGACAAACGAGACAAACAACCATTCACTCTCTCACTCACACCTAGGGACAATTTAGAGTTACCAATCAGCCTAACATGCATGTTTTTGGTCTGTAGGAGGAAACCAGAGAACCCGGAGAAAACCCACGCATGCACGGAGAGAACATGCAAACTCCACCCAGAAAGGCCTCCGAACCGGGGTTTGAACCAGGGACCTGCTCACTGAGAGGCAGCAGCTCTACCAGCTGCGCCACCGTGCTGCTGAATTAACGGATAACTCCATTAATTCAGATTTATTTTACAGATACGGAGCTAAAATTTGGTGTGGTAGCAGCTGAGAGTTGTTCTAAACACATCAACAATACTTTAACTATTTGAATTAGTTTACTTTAATATATTAATTCTATAAAAATAAAAAATAATGTTTTGTCTTTATTATTATTGTTTATTGTTATTGTGGTCTACTTCATATGTTTGGTCTGGAACAGGTCTCTCTTGTAAATGAGTCCTCGTGGCTCAATGAGACTAGCCTGTATAAATAAAGATTGAATGAAAAAACAACTTTTAGAACAGTCAACACTCATTGCCCGTTCTTAGAACCACAGCCGTATTTGTAGACCAGGGGTCGGCAACCGCGGCTCCGGAGCTGCTGCGGCTTCCTGTGACTTTGGAAAATGAATAATGAGTATTAATTTAAATGTACTTTTATTTTAGTTTGTTCATTTTTTTAAATGTAATTCTAAATGTGAAGATAATGGTGTTCTTGTAACATTAAAATAAAAAGCTTTAAGTTTTGTCTAACAAAATATGCGTCACAATCGCAGACGTGCGTGGAGGTGGACAGCGTGTATCCTGACCTCCTGCTGCACATCAAAGTCCGGTGGCTGTCCAGAGAGGAGGTGCTGAAACACTTTGCCACATGTCTGGAAGAAGTGACAACTTTCCTGGGCAGCAAAGAGCTCACCTTTCCTGGAAAAGCTGCACTTTACAGTGGGCGTGACGCTGACAGCACACCTGAACACATCTCCTCAGGGAAGAGGAGGCGCAGCTCTGCACGTGCTGGAGGAGGTTTTGGCATTTGAGCACAAACTGACAGTGTTAGCCAGAGATTTACAGCGAAGTACACCGTCTCATTTCCCCTCTCTGAGTTCAAACATGGTCACAATACAATGAATTGTCAGTATTTGCAGTCACAGCAATGCAAACATGGTTTGAGAGACGATTCTGAGTTCAGAGGGAAAAAAAACACATCGTCCTTCCCCGTCACTCCCGAGCATCGATCCATCCCTGTTGAATATGACGGCATTTGCAGGTGTAAGTCAACCCGATCTTGAGATGGAACTGGCCGACATCGCCAACAAAGATTTATGGATGTCCAAGTCCAAATGCTTGACAGCTGATCTTGAAGATGTCGCCTGACAGAAGGCCGTTCTTGCTCAGAATCACAAATGAAACTGAAAACCTTCTCAAACAGGACAAACTTGTGTTTGAAACATGGAATGCCATCTCCGACACTTACACGAACATGAAGTATGCATTTGGAGTCCTGTTGATCTTCGGATCCTCATACGCATGTGAGCAGGTCTTCTCCAAAATGAACTACGTTAAAAACAAACATTGCTCACGCCTCACAGACGACAGCTTGCACTCCTGTGTGAAGATGAAGGTGACTGTTTTTCCAGTGGGTGACGGTCCATACAGCTCTTTGAGTATTTAAGGTTGCTGACCCCTGGTCTACATTAATCTTTTTGACTTGGGTTTTCATTCCCGTCAGCCTGTGGTCCATGTAGGCCCGTTGCAATAAACAATAAATCAAATGATAACTGAAAATTATCAACCTCATTTTCATTCATCAGCTTTATCGTTTCTTCGTCTCTCTCTCTCTTTCTACTGAAGACACTGGAAGCTCAACTCCGGTGTTCTTCAATGACCCCTCCCTTTCTCTTTAAAATCAGTTTTAAACATCCAAAATCATGTTTTTAAATTGTTAAAAGCAGCTAAGCTGAGAAGCTAAGCCGTATGTGCCGAACTCAAGGCCCGGGGGCTATTTGTTATTGTGACAGGCTAGGTCCATGCGTCTTCAACGACATACATCGAGCAGAGCCGCACATGCACACACAGCTGCCACAGTCAGGTGTATTTTACCTAATCACACCTTCACACTGCTGAATTCAATAAACCTTGACCTGCATGCACACAACATTGTTGTTTTTTCCAGGTCTGTAACAAAAACAGCTGGTGAGTCTGTGATACTGAGACTGTCAGGAGCAAGAATCTAAAGGTGAAAATGCTCCATCTTTGTGCTCTGCGCTTGTTATAAACTTGATATATCTTCCAGCATATGAGAAACACGAACATGGCTGCCTTTGTGTGTCTTCTATCACAAGTGACCTTCAGAAAGCCTCTGTGTTCAACTCCAGCTGATGCACAGAAACCAAGACAGGCCGTCAGCAGCTACCTGAAACTCCTACTTTGATATAAAGATAAAATTCCCAACTGAAACTCAGACACTGGAACTGGCTTGATGCACCGGCATCAACAGATCTATTGGAAAATTTATCAGAGGGTCAAACACTTCCATCTGGGTTTGTTCCCTTTCTGCCCCCTCATCTCTTTCACCTGCAAGTATCTATTTGAACTGAAAAACAAGCCCACTCATTGTGGGCTCTGACAAAAACTTTCATCCAAAGAAAACAAGAAAGCCAGAAGGATCAATGCTCCACCTCCATCTTCTACCCCTCATCTGTAGTCGGGTCATGGAGGCAACAGATCCACGAGAGAACCCCACACATCCCTCTCCCTGGTGACACTCTCCAGCTCATCCTGGGGAACCCCAAGGCGTTCCAAAGCCAGAAGATACACAATCCCTCCAGCAAGTTCTGGGTCGGCCCCGAGGCTTCTTTCCAGTGGAACGTGCCCAGAAAACCAGCAAAGGATCGACTGTAAACCTCAGAACTCTTAATAAAGTTGTATTGTAAATATTTTCAGAAAGCTGAGAGGCTTTCATTCACCACAGCTTACAACTTCTCATAGATTGTTTCCTCTGAAAAGACAAATGTTTGGCTCTGTTGCTCATTTAATTAAGTTCCAGTTACTTTGGTTTTGATCTTTTATATAAAAACTTCATAGCTGAAGTGGATGTTCTCTTTAAAATACTACACAGTTGTGAAAATGCACTGACTAAATACCATGACTTTAGAATACTAGAACACGTTTGCTGGACTTCATGAAAATCAAGTACAATCGTCCCTCACTCCTTCGCAGTTCAATTTTTGCGGACTCGCTCTTTCACGGTTTTTCAAAGTAAGAGTGGACAAGACACACAACTGGCTGATTGATGGATGAGCCACACGAGCGGCATGGATGGTTTATTTAAAATTTATTTAAATGAATCAAATTTATTTACTCGAAGATTATTATGATTGAAAACTTGAAGATTATTATGATTGAAATAATTGTTTGAAAAAAGGGGCAGATATAATAAGATTTTTTCTTCTTTCTGCTGCCTTTCATTTTAAATCTTGTATCTTTTTATATTGTTATGGAATTGTTTCATTCAACCTTTATTTATACAGGTAAATCCCATTGAGCCTCGAGGACTCATTTACAAGAGAGACCTGAATTGTTTTGTACTTTTTTAAAATGAATAAACTTTATACCATACCACACCAAAATACAATATTTTAAATGATTTAGCACCTGCTGCACCAGTGTGCAGACCACAGGTGCAGAGAGAAGCTCCCTCTGCAGCCTGTCATGATCTCCGCTCCACCACCCACACATTTCTCCTCCAGCTGCAGCAGCTTTGAGAAGGGTTAACCCTTTGCTGTCCAGATGCACAGATCGACTTTTGTCTTCCAGCTTAAAATTCAAAGCATGTCACATCGTAAAATCACCATAATCACAAAATTTAAAAAGTGTTAAAAGTAATTTAAAATAATTTTAGAACTTCTATGTTCAGTTGTTTCAGTGCAATTGATCAAGAAGTGCATTTCTGCTCCGCGCTGCAGAGCTGATGTCTTGCTGCACTTCTCTACAATTTAAATTTAAATACTGTAATATTTTAAATAAACAATCAATGCATGCACTGTTTATTTAAAATATTACAGTATTTAATTTTAAATGGTTTATTTAGAGAGAAGGAGAGAGATTGGGAGAGAAACTGGTATATTAGATATATAATATATATATATATATATATATATTTATATATATCTCAATCATGTACCACATGCAATGGTAATGACAACAAAGTTTACTTGAACTTGCTACTGTATCCATACTTCACGGTTTTTCACTTATCGAGGGTGGGCGTGGTCCCCTAAACCCCGCGATAAACGAGGGACTACTGTAATTAAAGTAGTCCTGTACATGCAGTACTGATGAAGCCATGGTACCACAGGTGCTGTACACCATGGGCGATGATGAGTAGCTAAAGAGCATGTAGAGTGAAGAGGTCGTCTATAACACAAAAATAGTTGTTGGTACACAGAGTCAAACAGAACAACAGGATGAAGTTATGTAGAAAAGAAAGGAGACATCCATCAACATGAAGGACGAGCTTTTAATACACTTATCATAAGACAATAAAGCATGTGCGCCCCCCCGCCCCCGCACATACACACATAGTGATGAAGTCCCAGAGAAACTGGGGAATGAATCCAGAATGGGGGAAAGCCTGAACTCTTAAAGAACACAAAGATTTGTGTCTGCTACTTATGCACAAGGGCAGAGCAGCACGAGCTCCCTGTTACTACGGAAACCTGCGACAGGGAGCGCCGCGATTGGCTGGTGGGTCAAAACCAGTCATAACCGAGAGAGCACTATGGGAGAGGCAGAGGATAAAATAAGACAAGGACTGTGCAAAGATGACAGAGTGTGAGAGCTCAGCTGAGTGACAGGCAGGTGCACACACGCAGCACAAGTTCAGCTCGTAAGACGAGGCGAAGTGAGGATTACAGACAGTCTGGCAGCTTCACAGTTGGGTACTTCATGGCTGGTCATGAGAATATAGGAGCGCAAAAGCTATTGCAAATCATTCTACTTGTATTTCTGAGAGTAAATTAAACTCATTGTTTGCTAACCAGTAATACAGTGCAGCATTTAGCACAATATTACTAGATAGAATTACTCTGCGCACCACAAACTTTGACTGATTTTTAGTATGCTACGTTCTTATTTATTGTTCTCCAAAGAGCCATAAAATGTGTGTGTTTGTGTCTCACCTGGACTGAAGGTGCTCCAGTTGTACCTGCAGATTATCAGTCTGCTCCACCTGCTCATCCAGAGACCTCTGCAGCTTCCTCGTCTGGTTATGAGACTCGTCCAGCTGAACACACGACAACAAACATCATGAAGGCCTTTACTCCTATACAGTAGTCCCTCGCTACTTCGCGGTTCAACTTAAGCGGACTCTCTCTTTCGTGGTTCTGCAGAGTTAGTGAGTAAAATTTAGTAGGTACATATACGTATGTGGTTAAAATGACGTAGGTTTAAGAGTTTAGAACATCGTGTGCTTTGTTGCTGCAGGATAGTTCTGCAGAAACGGAACCGAGTCGGACCAGAACGGAGCAGAACCGAGAGCCGCTGCTGTTCTGACAGCTGGTGAGTAAAATTTAGTAGCTACATATACAGTACTATACGTATGTTGTTAAAATGACATAGGTTGAGGAGTTTAGAACATTGCAAGAGTGGGGGAAGGGTTTATAAAGCCTTAAAATACATATAAATACTACAATAAATATAACATCACTACTTTACTGATTTTCACTTATTGCGGGGGGTCCGGAACGTAATCCTTGCACTAAACGAGGGTCTACTGTGTACAAACAATAAATAAATAAATGTGATGGTTTTCAAACCACATGCAAGATCAGTAAAGATAACTGGAACCTAAAACTTTAGCCAGTTGCTACAGTTTCTTTATTTATTCCAGAGAATTGTTCCTCAGCGTCAACTCTTCTAATGTTGAAGGGGTACTAAAGCAACATTATGAATTCCCAACAGGTCTATTTCATGTTAAACATTTTGACTTGAAAACATCAGAACAAGCGTTGATCTATTGTTGAGGTCTATTCGAGTTTGCACATTGAACTGTCAGTCTGCACATGTGCACAAAGTGAATGCAGCGCCAAGTTTTTCGTGCTTGTCTACGGTGGAATAGTTGTTTGTGTTAAGTTTGTGGATAGACAAAATCATAAATTAACTCATTTTTATTAATCTTGTCGGTCTTGCTCTAGTTTTAAAATGACCTGCTTTACACCCAACATGTTTGAGCATCGACAGACAGGAGTGAATGACTTTTGTCTTGCAGAGTTTGAAACGGGGGAAACTTTCCTGTCCTCTCCAACCCCAGCCAGGCGAGGAAGATGTCTGCCCCTCCTGAGCTCAGTTCTGCTGGAGGTCTCTTGATGTCTAAAGCAGGGGTGGGCAATTAATTTCTTCAGGGGGCCGCATGAAAAATCTGAAATGTGTCGGAGGGCCGAACCAGCAATGACTCAAATTTAATCTTGGATTATTACACGTTTTCTCATTATATCTCTTTTTATAATGAAATACATAAATCAGATTCTTTTGGTAATAAGAAATAAAAATATTCTGTAAATATTTATAAAAGTGAACAAATTGTGGTTTAGGTTGAAGTGAGAATTAATACTAATTCTATTAAATTAATAGGTTAAAACAAAGACAGTCATCACATGTTAATTTTATTTTTAACTTGTTCATCTCTTCACAATGAAATGGTGTGCATTATGTTGAACAACTGATCAACTGTATACATGAGCCACAAGTGGTTTTAAGTAACGGAAAGGCCTGATAGACCTGACGTGCTGCAACTTGAAGAAAAGATCAGATTAAAATGAATGGAAAAAAGTACCACAAAGTACTTTAAACATGGCAAAAACTTGAGTTAAACACAAAAAGTATTTTCTTTCCACTGTTGCCAATTTCTTTCTCAGGATAAGAAGTTAAGAATTCATGCAATCTGCTGGCTTCCTTAGATAGATCATTTTTACTAATTGGCATTGTATAATGAATGTGACTGTTTTTGTACAGTGCCTGAGACATTTGTTGTTTATAAGTAAACTGAACAGAAAATTCAAAAGCTTTTAATATATGGACATGTTCATTAATTTCTCTGGTTCTTATTTTTACACAGCACGTATCAGTAGCATACAGCTGTGTTCCTACCTCATCCTCAGCCTGTCCCAACTCTTTCTTGAGCTCCTCCACCCTCAGACGGAGCTTTTTGACTTCAGCATCGTGGCTCTCCACCCTGCGGTTTGCATGTGCGAGCTCTGCGGTCTTCTCCTGGAACTGCTTCTTCAGCTTGGCATGAACGTGGCGCAGATCAGCCAGTTCCTGCGGACACAGCAGAGACAGAGAGGCTCAAAGGCTAATGTTCCCAAATTACCTGCTCGTTTGATTGTCTCAGTAATTAATCAACAAATAAATAAATGAAAACAGAATCACAGTATGTTATATTGGTGTGTATGAATTATAAATGGTAAATGGACTGTACTTATATAGCACCTTTCTATCTGATCAAGACACTCAAAGCTCTTTACAACACAACCTGTGTCCTCATTTACCCATTCATACAGCACTCTACTAGATCTCTACAAAGCTAATTGAACAAATCATTCTAATGAGACTAATCAGAGCTTTATCACATTCATACACTGATGGGACACACATCAGAGGCAGTGAGGGGTTCAGTGTTTTGCCCAGGGACACTTCGGCATGTGACTGCTGGTGGATTCAAGCCCCCAACTCTTGCACAGGAGAACGACTGCTCTAACCACTCGGCAACAGCCGCCTAAATTATTAAAGAAAGAATTATTAATGTCAATTATGTTTTATTGTTTTCTCTGAAATTCCCTAAAATTGATATTTTAAAGAAAGGAATTTCCATCAGAACTGTAAGAAGATTTTAGATTAATAATTTATTTTACTAGTTTACTTTTCACATTATGTATTTGCACATATTAAAAACTAAATATGTTCCTGTTAGGAACGATTTTAGTCAGGGCACTTTCGTCAGTCTCAATGGCAGTGCAGAGGTTACAGAAGGTGAGAAGATCGGATGGCCGCTGGTTCAACTCCCGGTACAGACAACATCAAAATGTGCGTGGGATTGGTGAGACACCCACACCTGCCTCCACCCTCATTTACCCCACTCTGGACCCTTGAGCAAGGCCGTTAACCTCCACCATCTGCTCCCTCGGACACCCTAGATAGCAGCTCTCTGCTCCACACAGAGGGCTGTGGTAGCTCGATGGTCTGTGGTTGTGTCAGGAAGGACATCTGGTGTAAAAATAATTGCCAAGTCTTCGTGTGACTTAGGTTGTTCTTTCGGCTGCTCCCTGAAGAAGGGAGCAGCCGAAAGAAAAAAAAAACAACAACTGTCGTCAGTGGCACACAGTGAATCTTGCAATAGGCAAAGAAGTATTCACCCAGTGTGGTCCTTTGTTTAAGGTCACAATCTAAGACCACCATCAATCTTCAAATGTGACTTGTGAATAACGTCATCTTTGAGATGGCACAACATCTAACAATACAAATGCCTACCATGGAAATGATATTCATTAAGAAAATAAACCCAGAGAAAAATAATGTATATTTTTTTTAAATAAAATAACCCTTAAGTCATAAAAGAACAAATATTATAAATATGTTTATCATAATTCTAAATATAGACATAAGTATTCATTCAACCTTTATTTATACAGGTTAGTCCCATTGAGCCTCGGGGACTCATTTACAAGAGAGACCTGAAATTTAACAAAGAGTGATGACAACTGAGATGTTTATTTTCTAAACATAACGTCCCAGTGGCTTTTAAACCTCAAAATACATTACGGCAAAGACTGGTTCATCCCAAAGATCCAGTCCCCCGGCACAAACAGAGTAATGTTGTGTATGCTGTTCAGTGTCAGGAGGGCTGTGATCAGTCTTACATCAGGGAAACTAAACAGCCACTGGCCAAAAGGATGGACCAGCACAGAAGATCAACATCATCAGGCCAGGACTCTGTGGTCTACACTCATCTCCAGGCCAGCGGTCACTCTTTCAGGGATGAAGATGTTCACATCCTGGACAGAGAGGAACGATGGTTTGAGAGAGGAGTAAAGGAGGCCATCTTTGTGGAAAGAAATCGTCCATCATTAAACAGGGGTGGAGGCCTCCGGGTTCAACTGTCCCTCTCTTACAATGCTGTGATTGCTAGTATCACTCAACCCCCTGTGAATAGTAAACAGCCATCAGTGTGCTAATGATCCATTGTTAGGCTGATGGTCCTTCTTGAGCATGTGATCAGCTGGTTTTGGTTGTCAACAGCAAAACTGGTTGATCCACTCTGAGAAGGTGCTATTTAAGAGACTGAGCTGAAAACAGCACCTCAGGCTGAGGAAGTCTTTCGGATGAAAGATGAAACGTTTCTACATTTTTTTTTTTTTTTGCTTTGTTTTGTTTTTGGCATGTCCAGAGGACCAGACGTAACTTTTTTAGATAGTGATGACAACAGTGGACAAAGACAACAGTAGACAATCACTAAAGAGGCATACATAAGAACTGAGAACAACAAGTGAAAATAAAATGGTATTAAAAAATGTAACAAAAAACAGCTAGGTTGTAAGGCGATGTAGAAAACTAAAAACAAGAACATGTCTGCATTGGTTTCCCCCATGAACTTAGATTAGTATGAATTTATTGCATCCTCGCCTGTTGCCATCAAAATGTTGCCTGCACTGCTTATGAGAAACGCAAACAAATAAAAAAATGGACTTTTCCTAAGTCAGGTTTTCCTTAGTTTAAAGTTTCCACCACGTAAAGTGCAGCATTAGCGGTTTCTGCACAGTAGATCCCAATTTACTCTCTAAATGTATACAGCCGCTGCTCCTCCACATCAAAAGGAGCCAGTTGAGGTGGTTCGGGCATCTGGTAAGGATGCCCCCTGGGACGCCTCCCTAGGGAGGTGCTACAGGTATGTCCGACTGAGAGGAGACCACGGGGAAGACCCAGGACACGCTGGAGAGACTATGTCTCTCAGTTGGCCTGGGAACACCTTGGGGTCCCCCCAGAAGAGCTAGAAGAGGTGGCTGTAAAGATATATCTGGGCCTCCCTGCTCAAGCTGCTGCCCCCGCGACCCAACTTTGGAACAAGCGGAAAATGATGGATGGATGGAAGGAAATGTATGCAGCGTAACACTTTTTTTTACAAACCACAAACCCTCAGAAAGACACCAAACAATGTCCAGTACGCCCTCCAAACAGCTACAACCTTCCTAATGGCTCTGAAAGGAAACATTTGTCAGGATGTACCCGGTAATTGTAGTCAGCTGTGGTCAAAGCCAGATTTAAACCACGCCCCTTCTGGCCTGAGCTGGGAACAGAAATGGAAAAATTGCACTTGGAGCTAAAGGAGTCATTAATAATGCAACATCGTCACAAACTACACTTTCATATTTGATGGCGTTGATTCAGCTTCCCTCTCTGCTGTCTGCAGCTAATGGCTCCCCAGACAGAGCTCATTCCTAGAAGCTTTTTGTGGATGTACTCTGCGATTATTGAGCATGCATCAGGATACTCTGCGATGCAATGAAGAGAAATTAGACGTTTATGGGAGCAATAAAGAGCAGCCCAGATCAAGGAAAGGGATGCACGTTTTAATTCTTTAGATTTTCCTCAGTCTACGTTTCATCTGTAATATGTTTTTAAATCCATTATCTTACAACAAATTTGGTTTAAACGTTTTGTGTTTCAGCTTGTTTTTACTATTAGGTGTAGTTCACCGAAAGAGGAATTGATGCTCAAACAATAATTCATTCAGGGTCAACACACAGACTCCATCAACCGTCAGAAGATTTCCAAAAACAATCAAGACGCCACACAAATGTAAGTCAAAGCTAGAAGCAGATCAAACAAAGAGGGCAGCAGTGTAATGCCAGGGGAGTGATTAAAACGAGGTGCTGGGGGTGGGTGGGGGTTGAGAAGTGTCTACAGTGAGACAGGAATGCAGAGATGTGAGGGGGATGAGGGGCGGATGTGTTGATAGTAATTAGATGGGTGGGATATCACAAGACGAGGAGATGGCAAAGCTCAGGAACAAAGAGAGTCTGAGAAAGAAGAGTGCCATAAAAACCAGACTATGAGGAAAAAAAAGTAAAATGACACACACACACACCCCCCCCCCCCCTGCACAGAGGAGGGGAGCTACAGAGGGAGAAACAAAGAAAGACTAAATAAGATGCAAATAAATATATTTATGGAATTACACGAAAATGGAGTCCAAACCCAGGAAAGACAAAGCCAGGAGAGGTTAACGCCTATCAATACCAAAATCCAAAACAAGTTCAAATGTTTCTGTAATGGGAGGGTTTGGATGATATTTCAGCCAAGTTCGCTGATGAACAGCTTGTAATGAAACTGATCTATCTCAGCAACACATCTGGATCTACAACTTCAGGACAAAACCCAACACCGTCCTCATCTGGCAGACAGTATGAGCCCCATTAAAGCTGGAGATGTGGAGTAAAGGCCTAGAAAGGAAATACATTAATGTATTTGAGAACCTGAGTGAATTTGCTGAAACTACTCATTGAGATGCTATCACAGTGTCCTAAAGGATCTTTTTTTTAACGAAATATTTCCTAGACAATAAGTGTTCAGTTTGATTGAGTGAGATCCAATCAGTGAGGCAACAAGGGCTGATTTCATCTTAGCTGGACAAGAAGAAAAACTCACTAAGTGATGCTGAACTGTTCTTTGAGACTAAAGTTTGCATCCAAGACACTGAAGGAAATTTAGATTGGTGTTGAGGAGCAGCCTCTTCCCTCACTTATGGTCACAAGCTCTGGGTAGTGACAATTAACAGGAGGTTGAAATTAGCTTCCTCTGCAGGAAAGCTGGACTCTCCCTTAGAGATAAGGAGAGAAGTTCAGTTATCCAGGAGAGACTCGAAGTAGAGCCGGTGCTCCTCCACATCGAGAGGAGCCAGTTGAGGTGGTTCGGGCATCTGGTAAGGATACTTCCTGGGTGCCTCCCCAGGGAGGTGTCCGACTGGGAGAAGACTGCGGGAAGACCCAGGACACGCTGGAGAGACTAAGGGTGTTTTCACACTAGCCCTGTTTAGTCCGCTTTAATCGAACTCTAGTCTGTTTGCCTAGAAAGTCCGGTTCGTTTAGGGAGGTGTGACTGCACAATCAAACTCTGACGTGGACCAAAAAAACAACAACTCTGGTCCACTTAAAAGCCTAGGTCTCGGTTCGGTTGATGTGAACTCTAGCGCGGCTCGAATGCATATGTGGATGCAAGCGGACCGGAGACCACTCCAAAAGCAGAAAGTGGACTACAGCGCAAGG